CCAGCGCCCTTAATAATGAACTATGTCGATCTGAAGCAAGGCTCCTTGATTTTTTATGGAGGTCGCATGGTCTTGCAGCATTGTCTTCGTTGTTTCAATAAACTCTTGCATTGTGGCTTCCAGAGAGCTGGTGTTTGATGAAGATGACCCTCCCTTATTAGAATTATGCCATGGCATATTCGATTGATAATTATGGGAGTCATTGAAATTCTGTTGCCGATCTGGTTAATGAGCATTGTTGTTTCCTTGATTTCCCCACAAAAAGTTTGGATGTTGATGCCATCTAGGATTATAGGTGTTGGAATAGGGGTTGTTGTTGCCTCGATTGAAGTTGCCTACAAAGTTGATGGATTCTTGATTGGTCGAGCAGTCACTCTCATTGTTATTGTCGTGGCATAATAAACATGTTGAATGAGCTACCTTCACTTCTCTCACCTCACTTGGCCTTTGCAAATTTTTCAACACATTAGTGATAGTAGCAAGTTGGGCGGACACTGAATCTTTAGAATCTAACTCGAAAGCTCTATAAGACTTTCGCCCAACTCCAAGCCTTGTGGATGGAAACTGATAATTGTTAGTGGCAATCTTATCCATAATGTCAAATGCCTCTGCTGGTGATTTGTAAAGCAATGTCCCATTTGCCGAGGCATCTAGCATCATCCTCGTAGGCGTGTTGACTCCATTGTAGAACATCACCACTTGTTTCTAATCTTGAAAACCATGATTTGAGAACTTACGAGGCAATGCCTTGTATCAATCCCAACACTCATACATCGACTCGTCATCAGCTTGACGAAAGGAAGCAATGTCGTTCCTCAGTTGGGTATTCATGTTCGGAGGATTATAGCGCAGCAAAATATTTTTGCACATATCAGTCCACGACTCCATTGAACCCGCTGGAACGCCACTCAACCAAGCCCTTTCTCGGTCACGCAAAGAATATGGAAATAATTTTAGCTTCAGAACATCTTCGTACACCCCTTGTTGGCGAAAAGAATCATACACCTCCAAGAAGTTACGAATATGCTGCCTGGCATCTTCATTTGGCATGCCCCCAAACTTCCCTATGGAGTTCAGTATATTGAACATGACAGGTTTAAGCTCAAAGTGGGCTGCCTGAATCTTTGGTGCCATAATTCTAGGATTTAAACGTCTAAAATTGGGTTTAAGTGATCACCAATGGAACGAGGTCTGGGTGCATTCCCAACAAATGGATTTTCCTGCATTCTGATCATCCTCATGACCAATGCCTGGATTTCAAATTTGGTACATATTGGCATGTTGAGCACATTTTCTTCTCCTAAAGAGCCTCTCGATCTCAGGTTCAACCGGTTCTAATGGCTCGTCAGGGTTACTTTGGTCATACACCACGAAATCCTAAAGAAGATAAGAAAAATAAAGGGTAAAACTATATAAAAGAAATATAAACAAGTAAAATAAAAATGCTATCACAAAACAATTTAACTTCCAGTTGCCAATTCCCCGGCAACGGTGCCAAAAACTTGTATGCTCGGTATCAGTACTATAAATGAGTGCATATATATGTGCAAGTATACACAATCGAACAAGTAATACAGTGATAAGTTGAGTATCGTCTCCATAGGATTGGAGGAAATCAAATAAGTTTGTCAAGGCACTTTACTCTGTCACCTAAGTAAAGTTAGTGATGGTATATACAAATGATAATGTTATGGCAAAATGGAATGACTGATGTGGAAATGGAACGATGGTAATATGGTAGCAAATGGATATGTCGTGGCAAAATAGATTGTGTTTAGTGCAAACAGATGGAAATGTCAAGGCAAAATGAGATGTAAATATACGAGTTGGTTAATAAGACTTTGTCTTTCTCACACGACAAGTTACTTTGGGAATTAGTGGTAGGAGTCACTAAGGAAAATCTAAGTCTACTTCTCCGAATGGTCTTCCTTATATGCCCAGTCTGCCCGACAAAGTCTACTAAGGTGCCCTATGCTATCTCTAGTAAGGGACTCGACAGATTAAAGATGCCCCGGCAAAACCGATTGGCGTAAACCCCTGCAATGATCCTATTGGTCCAGATAACATGATATGTCTCGGCAATACCTTTTTGCGGCAACATTAACATCTAACCTATCGTTCATGCACAACTCCTTTTAGTCGAATGAAATCCTAGCCTTATCTCTGAGGTGGATTAGGCCTAGTTACTACCTAGAACCCTTTGTTTATATAGTTCATCCCTAGTTTCTCTTGAACACTAAGGATTTTTATCTCGGTATTCTCTCAAACCCAAAGAATCTCCTAAGGAATGGCTACTCTCGTAGCTCCTACAACCTTAAGGCACTAAGTCTCATAAACAAAACAGAATATATCATAGAAAAACAACCATTCATTGAAATAACACTCAAACATCCAAGTGAACTCCCACCAAATAGGTTTAGTTCATGGTGGGGTTCGAAATAAACAAGCACAAAGCAAGTTTCATCCGTTCCTTACAACCCAATAACAAAATATGAAAGAAAAGAACTAAGGGAAGGAGAAAAAGCCTTCGACGTGCACTTCCGGAGCTTCCCTCGACCACCATGAACTGTCCCCAACGAACTAGCTCCTCTTGGATGCCTAGAACGCCACTCCCTCAGGCTTGTCACAGAGAAATGCCACGGTAAGTAGGATTGAAAGAGAAAATGAGAGACTTTTTCTCTCTCTATTTAAGCTCAAAACGTTGTGGAATAAAATTCTCTAACATTGTGGCTTCATCCTCTAATTATAGGGAAAAATTAACCTTAGGACTTGGTGTTAAAATTCCTAGAAAACCCCAAACCATGCTTAAATCACGTGGGTATTGGGTAGAGCATAGCAGTGATCCAGTCTGGGTTGCCGACTGAGTACCTGGCATAATCCCGTTGCAGACGCCCAGGGATAGACAGGATTTGCAGAGCAGGCGGCGTGGTCAGCAGGATAGCTATAGCAGCGCCGACCCCTCCAGGCGGATCTTCGAGGCAGATTTCTCGGGCAGAGATCACGGAAAGTAAGAGACAGCTGGCTAAAAATATCTTCTTGCACTTGGCTCGCTTTCGAAATGCCAATCCAACTCGGCATTTTCATTCTGCTTAGCAGTCTCCTTATGTCACGACATTTCCTTTTCTCTTTTCCTTGCTCTCAATTCCTACACATCATTAGACAAACACCTTTCCCATAAGGTAGCACTGATGACAAATTAAAATACTGCGGCAAACCGAATTCCACCACATGCAACTAAATCCTTCTAAATGCATCTACATGGTCCTAAATGAGCTCTTAAACATTCAATAACTTAAGTGAAAAGGTCCCAAAATGTGACCTTTTTACGGAGTTATCATTGATTTATAGCTATCTATAAATGACTATCTTTCGGAGGTGAAGCATCAACAGATGTATGAGTTGAAGTTTCAATTTTTGTATTTTTCGAAGTTCCACCACTTTTTCTCTTAAAAAGTTCAATAATTGTTGGATTTTTTCTTATGACAAGTTGCATTTATATAAAATTAATTCATTAACATAACAAAAATTAAATTTGGAAATCAACATTCAAGTTAACAATAATTATCTAATAATTTAAGAATTAAATTTATAATTTTATTTTCTTAATTCAACTTAATAATTATTGATTAACTAAATTAATACTAAAATTAAATATAAGATCAAATAGTTTCAATCAAAAAATAATAAATATAGTATTGCTTAATTATTTACCTTTAAAATTGACACTTGATTGAATTTGAACCACTTCAATAAATCTCGAACAATCGTAATAGAAGAACTTAATCTTGTTTTGGAGCCTATGATTCTATCACAAGGTTTTATGTTAGAAGAATAAAGAATTTACCCATTTTTTCAGGCAAAGATAGCACCTATATTTTTTGTGACACCAATTAGGATAAAACTTAAAAGTTTAGCAAGGGTCGGGGGCCCAATGGCCCTTGGCCTCTGTTGGTGAGGGAAGATATAAATTATTATATGTGTTTCTTAGGGGTGTTTATCGAGCGAGACGATCACGAGTTGGACTGTGCTCAACTCATTCTCATTAAAAATTTATTGTTCAATTTGACTCATTGCTCGTTAAGCTCGTCAAAATTTTTACCTTGTTTTTAGCTATAGGTAAAATCTACTAATATTATATAAAGCTTAATATAAACATAAATTAATAAATTTAATAAAAATATCAAAAGAGTGTATGAAACAATTTTAAAGTCTATACTTCAAGACAATAATCCACAAATATATTAAAATAATAATTAGGGTTTAACTTTAGGTGTAGTATAAATAATAATTATTAATTAACAATTTAATATTTTTATTATTTATAGAAAATTAATAGATTAATAATTAATCATCTTTTTTATATCTACTAGTAAATTGGTAATTTTTTAAATGAAATATTTTTTAAAGATAATTACTAAAAGATTATAAAAAAAATGAGTTTATCGTGAACTTATTTAGTTGAATTGTCTTTGCTCGACTCTATCGTTTAAGATATCGAGTTGAGCTCGAGTTCGAGTCGAGTCAACCTAAGTCGAGATTTGACCGAGTTTTAACCAAGTCAACTTCGAGTTACTCACGAGCTTCTCAACTCATTAAGCATCCCTACCGCCTCTCGTTCAAATTTTTATTTAAAACTTTTTATATTATTTTAATTAATTTATATTATTTTATTTAGTCCATATGATTTTAATTAGATTATAGTATTTCAATTACTTTATATTATTTTAGTTGAATATACTGATTTTCATTATATTTTTATTTTTATATTTTAAATAATTAAGTGATTATAGGTATAATTTACATAAAATTTAGTTACTTTTTTAAATTTGAGATGTTAATTACGTTATAAATATTAAAAAAAAAGTAAAACCCTAATCATCTTACGTGGCACGGATAAGGTAGGGTTGAAAGTATGAATGGGAATGAAATTATCCCTAACATTATATCATAGCAGAAGACCGAAGGGAGAAAATTTCAGGGAAAGGATTCGACACTGCGAGAAAGGGGAAAAGCGTAAAAGGCTGTGTCGATCCTTCGTTTTTATTTGAAGTTTGAGTATAGAAGATGGAAGGAGACGATGTAGTCATGGCCACTGAGGAATCCACTGAAGCTGTAATTTTATTATTTTTTTCTTTTGCACTTTTTATTATTGTTAGGGTTTTTCCTATTTTTAATAAACCCTAATTTTGGAGAATTCTGCAGGACCTCGATGACATGAAAAGAAGGTTAAGAGAGATGGAGGATGAAGCCGCTGCACTTCGTGAGATGCAAGCTAAGGTCGAGAAGGAGATGGGTTCCGTTCAAGGTTCTCTGTTTATATTTCAATTTTCTTGCTTTATTGTGCTCGTTTGCCTTTTTTCCTTGTGACGTATTTTTCCCCTAGTTATCAAGTCCAATTAAAAGCGCTTGATTGACGCTCTTTATTTTCCTCTTTCGAGTTCTTATAAATGGGCTTTTGGTTTTAATGTGTAATATCTGGCCAAATGATTGGAAAACTATCTGATAAATCCTTTCACTTGCCTTATTATCAACAAAGCCTTTAAATCAAACGCAATTCTCTTATGGGTTTTCAAAGCTTATATCTTTTATGGAATGTTAGCTGGAATTTTGAACCCTGTGTTTATTTGTGCATAAAATAAGTTGAATATCTTCTTTGCTTTAATTTTAGTTGCATTGTCGTCTTTTGTTGTTGTGCAATAGATCCAGCTGCTGCAGCTACGTCCCAGGCTAATCGAGAGCTAGTAGATTCCCGATCAATCTTTGTTGGCAATGTGAGGCCGCTTTCCATAGCTTATTTTTCTGCACGTCTTTGCATTTATCTATAATTATATTCTAATGGTGAAAAAGAGGTAAATATCCACCATTTTGAAGTCATAAGCTGCACGGGTAGTTCAATGATATGCTAACTTCTGAATCTAAACAAGAAAAACAAAGTATTCTTTCCCAAATTCATGGGAATAGTTAGATTGTGCATCAGGTTGAACTTATCCTATCAATAATTAATGCCGGACACACTAATACCAGTATTTAGACCAATCTTCATAGCTGAACTTTGAATGTAGCTGTAACTCAAATCGAGTCAACTAGTTGTCCACCTTTACCTATAGATACACTGGATTAAGAGCCACTACCCAGAAGCATTGTCTTGGCTAGCTTTGGGCTCCTGGTTGTGTGACACTGGATTGGAGGTGTGCCACATGCATGAAGAAACCAATTATGGAATGCTGCATCTTCCTTAAATTTTTGTCTAGGCATGAATGACCGAATAATAAATTGTAACTTGAAAGTCTTTTAGAAAGTTACAATAATTGTTTCAATAATGAGTCTTTTAGTTGTTTAAAATTGAATGAAATGACAACTTATGATATATCCCGGTTCTGTTTTTAGTTCTTAGTATGGTGTTTCTATTGTGAAAGAAAATAAGAAAAAGCTGATGCAGAACGATTAGACATTGAGGCAAACAAATCTTAATTGTGTTTTTCTTTTTCTATAACATTTATGTTAAGTTATCATAAAATACATTCTAGTGAAATATTGGCATATGTGCACTTGTTTTCTTCTCTGTATTATGGAAGAACGTAATGGATTTTTCTTTGAGTTTGTTCAAATGATGTTTACCCTAGTTTGGTCATGAAAGGTTGATGTGGTTATGGCTGTAATATGGCAGTGGCCCTGGTCTGTGACTAAGTGATTTGGATATATCCTTTCATGTTCTGTCCTTAGGTTTAGCAAGGTAGGTTATTGTGATTAGATCGTTATTCAATTTGTTGGCCCTATGTATCAATTATGTCTTTCCTGTGTGAATGCTAATTGCTTGAGAAGGTTTTAACTCTTAACCATTTGCTTTAGCTCCTTATAAACAACTGAGTCTACTGGTGAACCAAGACCTGGTCTGCCTTTTTTTAAAGGTGATTAGTAAGCATATACTTGTTGCACAAGTGACATCGTTTGCTGCCTAGTCTCTCTTTTTTTTATAACAAATTAATAATTGCAGTCACCTTTTATTTTTATAATTTAAATTATTTTGTTCTGCATAGTTTACTGGCTACATATATAACATGCTGTGAATGCAGGTGGATTATTCGTGTACACCTGAAGAAGTTCAACATCATTTCCAGTCTTGTGGGACTGTAAATAGGGTTACTATTCGAACAGATAAGTATGGCCAGCCAAAGGGTTACGCATACGTGGAGTTCCTTGAATCTGAGGCTGTTCAAGAGGCTCTTCTTTTGAATGAATCTGAACTTCGTGGCAGGCAGTTGAAGGTAAAATTTAGTGTTTTTCTCCCACCTCTCCCCTCTCTTTTGAGTAGAAAAAGAACACTGGCTGCTTTCTTTATGCCGAGAGAAGTAGTTTTTTTCACTTCCAAACTTCCATGTTTTAAACTATTTAAACATCATGTGCTTTCTTTGTATCTTTGTAGGTTACCACTAAGAGGACCAATATACCTGGGATGAAACCATATCATCCACGTCGATCCAACCCTTTTATGCAACCCAGGGACCCATTTATGGCTCCATATTTCTTTGCTCCCTATGGATATGGGTATGCTAGCAGCTGTGGTCTCCAACTTAATTCATATATTTGTACTTTTGTTTTCAGTTTTGACAACCTGAATAAAGGGTGTTAAACTTTGTTCTATATATTACATTGCAGGAAGGTGCCAAGGTTGAGAATGGCAATGCGATACAACCCCTATTATTAAATACCATGGACCATGGTAGTAGTTCCAGATACTTCTGATAACGTGGCTAGTTTATGAGGTATTTTTTTTACCTATCAATTTGGTTGATGTGCCAAAACCATCCAAGAATTCTGGTCTGGTACTCTGGTTTTATTGGTGGTGAATTATGCAACTATCTTTCTTCAACTGCCATGTTGCTTGAGAATTTTTTGTTCTTAAGAATGCATGTGTTAGTTATTAACTTCATGCTTAGCTCTGTTGGTTCATGTAATTGTTCTTAAAAATGATACTTAGCTGGTCTAAAGTTCAAACCTGTAGGGGTGTGCATTAAACCTAATTATTTCAGTTAATCGGTTTTCTTAAATTGATTTTTTTTAAATTGAAACTGAATCGACTTGGGAGGAAAACTAATAAAGCTGTCCGGTTGAATTTTTGGTTGATTGTGTAGGAAAATTGACTCTAGTGACTTAAATTAATTTTTTACACTAATACTATATAATAATTTTTATATAGGTATACTTATTAGTGTATGTATTTTAATTTCTGAAGATAATAATAATAATTATTAGTCTATATATATTAATATATATTTATTTTTAATTAAACAGCATTTTATTAGTGTATATATTTTTAATATATTTGATAATAAAACATGTTTCTCCCCAAATTCTCTTCGAAAATTCACACTAAAATATGGTCACGAGCATCTTATCCCTGCCAAACCGAATAATCCTCGTGCTAAAATTATTTTGTAGTATACGGTTAGTGAAATTTTATTTAAAAATTTACAACATTTATTTTGGTAGATTAAATACTTGTTACGTGACATAATGAGATATAAAATATAAGTTTTTTATATTAGAACTTGCAGTGGAAGTAGAGACGTTACCACTGGGAAATTTGGAAGGGGACTGAACGGCGAGGAAGAGGCTAGGGTTTTTTTCAAAAAAAAGAGGGGTTTAAAATAATATTTTTATTTTTCCAAAAGAAATAAAAATTATAAATTATAAATACGATACATGTTAAATAATAGTTTTTTAATGATTATTGTTGTATAAATATTTAAAAGAATAATGTTGCAAATTTAAATACTTATTTAGAACAAAAAAATTCTTTAGGCATTTAAAGTTAATTTTAGGTATAATTTAATAATTTATTTTTTATTAAGCCTCTAAAAAGGAAAAAATTATACCATAAAATTTTACTCTTGTTTCAACTGCATAACAATGTTGTCAAAATTTATGTACGAAGATCCACCAGGGGTTGTAGCAGCTTCAGCTTTCTTCTTCCAATCCATGGCCTTTACCCTTAAACAATGGCCCTTCATCCCTTCCATCAACTCCCTCGCAAGAATTTCAACTTTCTCCCTATTGACATCACTGTCCATCTCCATCCCAATGCCCCACTCCCTGCAACAGTAAAAACAATTCATTGGCTGGTCTGCAAAAAACGGCCAACAAATCAATGGCACCCCTTCACACACACTTTCCATGGTCGAATTCCACCCGCAGTGAGTCAAGAACCCGCCCACAGAAGGGTGGCTCAGCACCCTTTCCTGCGGACACCACCCAACAAGCACACCCCTATCACTTATTGCGGCCAAGAACTCCTCCGATAGTATATCTTCCCCACCGCCGTTGACAAGATCCGCCCTAATAACCCACAAGAACGGGTACTTGCTGTCAGCCAGTTCCCATGCAAAGTCACGCAGCTTTTGAGGCGTCACCGTTATCAAACTTCCAAAGTTTACGTACACAACCGAGCAGGGCTCCCTTTCGTCTAGCCAAGACAAGCATTGGGTGTCTTCTTCCCACAAATTTGATCCCATGGAGTCCAAATTCGTCGGACAAAGTTGGCGGTGAAGCAGTGATAATGGACCGATGGTGTAGAGGTTGGTTAACTTGGTTTTAATGGCGTCCAGAACTTGGTGTTCGAGATCATCAAAGGTGTTGAGGATGACAGCGGCGGCTTTGGTGGCATTGTTGACGGATTGTAGGTTGTAATTGAACATCGTGTCATTTGGATTGGTGGTTCGAATGAAGGTGGGGAATTCTCTTAATCCAACTCCTTTCATTGCAGGTATCCAATCCATATCTGTGTCCAGATAACCATTACTCAACTGACTCGCATCTGCAAATAGTTCAAAACACAGTAACAAAGTCATGGTTGAGTTTTTCTGTGCGGTAGGTTAAAATACGGTTAAAAACGATAGAAATAAGCACGACTTAAAATATTATCAAAAAGCATGACATGTTAGGCTGTTAACCGAAAATATTAGGAAGAATGTCATATTTTTAGTTGCACCCAATTTAAAAGTATTATAGTTTTTTTTATAACATTTTAAGTCACATTTATTTATATTTTTTTAGTCGCATTCTAACCTTTCTTTTTTTAGAATCTTCCGAGAGTCATTTATTGTGTTGTAACAAATTATATACGAATGAATGAATTTCAAAGATAGAAAAATAAATAAATAATTATGTCATTAAACATACATGCTTTAACAGTAACAACTGTAATAAGATTTTAAATTTAAACCTATTAATAACATAACAGAAAATATAAAATCAAATTATGCCAAATAGTTATTCAAAATGTATATTTCAAATTTAAATAAAGGAATTAAACTTTAATTATCAACATAGTAGAGGTATATATATATATATATATATGCCCAACTAAAATAAAATAATTGAACTTTAAATTTCAACTTTATAGAGGGACTAAAACTAAAATTAAACCTGTCCAGACATAGGCATTAAAGAAGTTTGGGAAAATAAGTATATTGGTATCCAATGCCTATGTTCGACTCAAATATATTTATGCATTAATATGAGATGGATCTTTGCCGCACTTAATATATTTATGCATTAATATATATGGATGTTTAAAACAATGACAAATCTAAAAATATTTTTTAGAGTATAAACATTCGTTAACGATATAATTTTTTTAATATGGTGAACATAAATAAAATTTTAAGATTGACACTATCAATAAAATATATAATTAATAAAGAAAATTTGAATTTCAGGTCAACACAAATAAAATTTTAAGGTGGACACTATCAGTAAAATAATAACTAACAAAAAAATTAGATTTCAGGATGGACACGTATTCACCCTCAGCCCTCAATGAATTCCCCATTGCTTTGAAATATTTAAGAGGAAAAATCTTTGAAGATACCAAGTATATTCATAGGTAATCTTCATGAGGAGTTTAATATTGAATTAAAATTTGTAATTGTGAGCTCATATATATAATATATAATGTTTTCGTGAAGTATGATATAAAATTAAGTGATTAGTTATGTTATGTGTGCCATATGTATTAAATTGTCGTGAAAACAAAGTTTATACGTTATAAGTTGTATTTATAATTTGATAAGAGACAAAATTATAAATACTTAAAAATTGACCTAGAGAGATAATGGTCCCTAAAAACTAGGTTAATTTGTATTTCTTCTATTCCTTCGAAGAGCGCAAGAAAACCATATATTCTTAGAAGATCAAAACTAAATTCAAAGATTTCAATCTATCAATAACTTTTAGTACGTCTCCGTATTTATTAGATTTTGATAATTTTGCATTATTACATCTTATCTAGTCTATATAATATTGTTATGATTCCGTCGTTAAATTGATGTTACGATGTAAATAGTACCTTTCAAAGGGAAATATCCACGTTCTTTAAGGTCTTCATAATGAAGGTAACCCAACATGCTACAAGCACTGGGAGTGAAAAGAACCATCTCAGGGATCCCAAATTCATCAGCAACTTCCAAGGTGAAGCTCATCACTCCATCGGATATTATGCTAGTAATCGGGGGGACATCCTTAAGCTTCATTATAAGCTCCCAAAAGGAACGTAAACCCTCGACCGGTATCGTCAGGCATAAGTCGGGTAAATCTTGTATTCCTCGCGGGTTCGTCGAGGGCAAACCGTCGATTATCGTTTCGAACCGGAAATCAGGTGAGCCCTGGAGCGAGTCGAGTCCTCTTGATTCAAGCAAGCGATGATAGTTGAAGTCGGTGTGGACGAAAGTGATACGGAAGCCCTTGAAATGGAGGAGCTTGGCAAGTTTTAATATGGGATTTATGGGGCCTTGAGCTGGTAGAGGAATACAAACAACATGGGGCTTTACAGGTTCCATTTGGCCCTTGAGAAAGTGTAGCGTTGAACTTCAATGAAAAAGATGAGGCATTTAAATTGAAGGAGTTTAAGATAAAACCAAATATGTGGTGTTAAGAGAGTGACTCAGTGAGTGCCCCACTTTTAGTCAACCACTAACTGCAGAGATGAATAGGAGGATTAGCGGGATAATTGTTTTCTTAAAATTTTAAATAATTTAAATATATTTTTATTTTATATTAATCATTTTTTTTATTTTTTTAAAAATTTTATAAATTTATCTCTATTATAAAATTATGCTCCGGTGTTTTACCTAATTGATGTTTTGTCTCTTATCTCGATCTTATCCAAATTATGGTTCATTTTCATTTAATATATATATATAAAATATTTAGGGTAAGTACACAAAAGATATTAATTATATGATATTATTTTGTTGAGTCTATATTATTAAAAGTTATAAAATCGTCATTTGATTATTCATTATATTTTAAACTCGTTATTTTTCATTAAAAATTAACAGTCTTCTAAGCTAAACGTTAACTTGGTGACTAAAATATGATAGTCGTTTGAGATTATAAGACCAGATTTTATCATATCTCAGACAACAAGTTAACGTCTAACTTAGATTGTCGTTAAATTTTAATGAAAAAATGATGAGTTTGGAACATAATAAATAGTCGGATGATCATTTTGTAACTTTTAATAGTCAATGAACTCAATAAAATAATACACTATAATCCAAAAATTTTTATAACTTTTAATAATTAAACTATATAACAAAATAATATATAATTATCGATATACTATTTATATAATTTACCCTAATATTGATGGGTAACATATCATGTCACTGCAATTGAATGTTGATTTAGCCGACTCCTAGATGCTGACTTTACGTATAGTACAAAATCTTAGCTATACATCAATGAATAGGAAACTGGGATACTACCATTTCCAAACAATAACAAAGCATCAATGAAAAAATATGTATTTTATATTGTTTAGTTTATTTAAATTTTAGTTTGTAATTTTATATTTATTTAATTTAATTTTTAAAATTATATTTTTATGAAAATTAACCTATAAGTATTTTTTTTGTAATTTATTCTAAATCCTATTCAATTATAAAATATAATTCGACGATTATTAAAGTCGAAAAATAATTCACTTAAAAATTATCTAATCTAAAGTTTATCTGTATCCGGTAAGATCCAATATGTATTTTATTTGTCAATAACATGACTCGATCTGAACGAGACTCGACCTGAAGTCCATCAAAACTTGAATTAACCTGATTTTTAACTGATTCAGACTCGAGTCGTTTTGACCTGAATTTATATTGATCAGAACTGAAATTAATCCACCCCAAACCCAAACTGAATATGATTTCAAATCAACTTAAAAATGAACTAAACTAAGTTGACTCATCTGAATCGAAACATTAAATTAATTTAAAATAACTTATATCCAATTCGATCTTACTTTACATAATCAAACTTAAAACCTAAACGATTATCTTCATGTCCCTAATAATGTCACTGCAATTGAATGTTGTTTTAGCCGACTGCTAGATGTTGACTTTAGGTATATGTCGATATCGTTTTTCGTCTGGGTGGGGAAAGACCGATTACCGACTCGGGGGTGGTTTTCTCATTGAAAAGGTTTTCGAAATGTGAGGAGTCGCCACCAATCATTTAAGGTGAGATTTGAACACTGTCAAAACCAGGTGATTTTAATAAAACATTTTATTTTAATAAAATACCGTGTTTTAGGGTCTGCAAAATCCAGAAATCGGGTTCGAGTCAGTTACGTGTGGGGAAGGATTAGCACCACCACAAGCGCCCAAAAATTGGTACCTAGTTGGTTACCCTATATTTAAAATTGGAAATTTTAAGTTCGATCTTTATTTAACTTGAAAATCATTACGGATGCAAAGTTAAAAAGGGTATTCGTTTATTGAGACCGATATCATTCGCCCCCAAGCGTAAATGCAGGAGATCACTATTGTGCCTAATAACCGCACATTGCCTCGTTTTTAGAAAACAAACATGATGCAGTTTTGAAAAGGATGTCGACTTATTTAGGGAATTACTAGTAGTCACCCCCTGAGCACGATCGCGGAGGATATACTATTAACTCCTTAATAAGTGAACAATGCCTTAAGTTTTAAAAACAATGCAATCAAGCAAAATTTTATTTAATCCTAATTATACTAAAAATAAATTAAGGCTTTTTTATAACCTACGGTGTCAAATTATGAAAATTAAAGAACCTAGGGGCTCAAAACTAAGAACGTAGGCTCTAATATTAATCCTATTTGGTTTTAATTAATTATTGAATCGAATAACCGAGATGATCCCTCGAGCGTTTACGCACGCGAAGGCCAACTTGAATTATCCCCTAAATTAAAAGACTAATTGAAATTTGGGGATTAAAAGGGGCAAAATCTAAAGTATCTAGTTCTAAAAGACTAAAAAAGTCTAAGGATCTAAATATGATAAACTTTAAATATAAGGACTAAATTGCAAGAAATCAAAAGAAAGTAACTAAATAAAAATAAGCAGGGACCATATTACAAGAAATTTAAACTCAAAAGCTAAATTAAGACTAATAAGGGCTAAATTAAAATAAAATAAAGCTACGGGCCAAAATAAAAAAAATAAAAACAAAAGGTTCAGTGATCAAAATGTAAAAACACGCTAAATTAGAAGGGCTAAAATATTTAATTTACCAAAAAAATAAAGCATGTATCATAAATTGGTGAAATATCAAAATCAGTCCCTACAATGACCATTTTATGAAAACACGTAAAACTGTAGGGTTTTATGTTGCAAGTAGACCATTATTATACCCTATATACTAACTCTTCCCCCTTTTTAATTCATTCTTAACCAAAATACACAACAACAAAAAAGAAAAAAAATAGAGAATGCTCTCCCCTTCCCCAGCCGGCAGTAGGTCGGCCACCCCCAACCTCGATACAGCCACCGCGCCGAATCATATGTGGCGGCTAAAAACCCCAAAATGTCCCCAAAATTAACCCGAACCTAGATATAACCACCCCCGAAGCCTATTTTAGAACCTAGAGCCTCTAAAATGACCCAAAACCTCCTAAAAACAGCCTTAAACCGTTCGACTACCCCAATTTCCAGCGACCCCCATTCGAACCATGTAACTTTCCGATCTAAACCTTTTATTTTTTCATTTTTTATTTGTTGTTATTAGGATTTAGAAGGGTTCAAAAATATTATATATATACTCGTATGCCTTGGGTATTTGCTTTTAATGTTTGTGTGCATGCATTTTTTAAATAGAAAATAACAAACATGATCATGGCATTCAAAAATAAAAAAATTAGTAGGTTTCAGACATAACAGAGCAAAGCATAAAAAATAAAAGCATAGTGTTCGAACGTAAAAAGGAAATATAAAAAAAGCAGTAGAAGGTAGATAACCTTTAAAGTCTGTTTATTGCTTGAGAACAGAGAATTACAGTGCTTTTTCGGGTAAGGATTTTTCCAATCCCGTTTTACATACTGCTTGCTTGAGTTAAATACTCATTTACAACCAAATAAAAAAATATTCCCACTTTCTTGTGTTTTGTCTTTTTGTAGGTGAGTGGGAGACAGGCTTGGAATTGGTGAAGGCCTGGGCACAAGTTGGAAAGGGTTTCACGTGGGAGTATGGGTAAGGGTTTAGTGGAGCATGAGCATGGGTTTTTGATTAAAATATGGTGCTCACAGCTTCCCCTCTTTGCTCTTTGATATGAAACGGGAATGAAGCAAAGATAAAAGAACGTCATCTTTAACTCAATCTTTGCTCTTCAAGTAGCTGTTTTTTTTTCATCGTGATCTTTCTTTCAAAAGTGTTGATCCCTCAAGTAAGGTGTTGCTGATTCAACTCCATATGCGATGAATCGAGCGAGAATGACAATGCTGATGATGCTGATCCAACTCTGTATGTGATGGATGAGCCAGGTATTGGTGCTGTTCCAACTCCGTATGTAATAGAATCGAGAAAGAACAACAATGTTTGATGATGATGATCCAACTCCATATGCGATGGATGAGCCAAGTATTGATGTTGTTCCAACTCCGTATGTGATGAAATCGAGCAAGAATGACAATGTTTGATGATGCTGATCCAACTCCGTATGCGATGGATGAGCCAAGTATTGGTGTTGTTCCAACTCCGTATGTGATGGAATCGAGCAAGAATGACAATGTGATGCTGATCCAACTCTGTATGCGATGGATGAGCCAGAAGGAACAGTTCTTCTCATTATGAACTTCTTCTCATTCGTTGTACGAGTTCTCATTATGAACTCTTTGTTGGAAATGTTGAGCTAAGGTTGAAACAAGTTCTTCTCATTATGAACTTCTTCTCCCTTATTGGATGAGTTCTTCTCATTATGAACTCTCCACTGGAAATCTTGAACCAAGATTGAACAAGTTCTTCTCATTATGAATTTCTTATCCCTCGTTGGACGAGTTCTTCTCATTATGAACTCTCCGTTGGAAATACTGAGCTAAGGTTGAACAAGTTCTTATCATTATGAACTTATTCTCCCTCATTGGATGAGTTTTTCTCATTATGAACTCTCCACTGGAAATCTTGAACCAAGGTTGAACAAGTTCTTCTCATTATGAACTTCTTCTCCCTCGTTGGACGAGTTCTTCTCATTATGAACTCTCCGCTGGAAATGTTGAGTCAATGTTGAACAAGTTCTTCTCATTATGAACTTATTCTCCCTCGTTGGATGAGTTCTTCTCATTATGAACTCTCCACTGGAAATCTTGAAACAAGGTTGAACAAGTTGTTCTCATTATGAACTTCTTCTCCCTCGTTGGATGAGTTCTTCTCATTATGAACTCTCCGTTGGAAATACTGAGCTAAGGTTGAACAAGTTCTTCTCATTACGAACTTCTTCTCCCTCATTGGATGAGTTCTTCTCATTATGAACTCTCCATTGGAAATCTTGAGCCAAGGTTGAACAAGTTCTTCTCATTATGAACTGCTTCTCCCTCGTTGGATGAGTTCTTCTCATTATGAACTCTCTACTGGAAATTTTGAACCAAGGTTAAACAAGTTCTTCTCA